ACTTTCAGTATAGTGGCAGGTTATAAAATCAATCTACAAAAATCAGTAGCCTTTCTATATACCAATAACAAGCAACTGCAGAATGATTACAGGGAAATGCTCCCATTTACAATTGCTTCAAAAAAAAAAATCTTGGAATAAATCTGACCAAAGACACTGAAGATCTCTACAATGAAAATTTTAAATCATTAAAGAATGAGATTGAGGAAGACACCAGGAGATGGAAGGACCTCATGTGCTCATGGATTAGAAAAATTAATATTGTGAAAATGACCATCCTACCAAAAGCAATATATAAATCCAATGCAATCCCAATAAAAATCCCTATGGCATACTTCACAGAACTAGAAAAAAACATCCTTAAATTCATATGGAAGCACAAAAGACCCTGGATAGCCAAAGCAACCCTGAGCACAAAGAGCAACACTGGGGGGATTACTATACCAGATCTCAAAGTATACTACAGAGCTAGAGCTATAAAAACAGCATGGTACTGACACAAAAATAGACACATAGATCAATGAACAGCATTGAAGATCCAAACCTGAGTACATGCAATTTCAGCCATCTGATATTTGACAAAGGTGCCAAGAACACACAATGGAGGAAAGACAGCATAAATGGTACTTGCAAAACTGCATCTCCACATGTAGAAGAATGAAACTAGATCCTTATCTTTCACCTTGTACAAAAGTCAGCTCCAAATGGATCAAAGACTTCAATGTGAAACTGGACACCCTGAAACTATTAAAAGAAAATATTGGCAGTAACTTACAAGATATAGGTGTAGGAAAGGATTTTCTAAATCACACAGAAGTTGCTCAGGAATTAAGTCAGCAATCAATAAGTGGGACCTCATTAAACTAAAAAGCTTCTGTACAACAAAAGAAACAATCAAAAAAGTGAAGAGAAAGCCCATAGAATGGGAAAAAAAACTTCTCCAGTGACACATCTGACAGAGGTTTAATACCCAGAATATATAAAGTACTCAAAAACCAAAGAATCGAGAAACCAAATGACCTAAATTAAAAGACGGGCTAAAGAC